CTTTGAACCTTTTCCAGTTTAGTCTTATGCTTGACTAGCTATCTGTGTTTATGGCGCCAAAAGTCTTTTCTCTTCATAGGTTCTGCGTGCATGGCCTATTATGTCTGTCGTTCCAGCATGTTGTTATTTTGTTGTGAAGATTTGGCCACTTGGCATTTCCGTATTTTCCTTGTGTGTGTGTGTGTGTGTGTGTGTGTGTGTGTGTGTGTGTGTGTGTGTACTCACCTACTTGTACTCACCTAGTTGTGTCTGCAGGATCGAACATTGACTCTTGGATCCCGCCTTTCGAGCATCGGTTGTTTACAGCAATGACTCCTGTCCCATTTCCCTATCATACCTGGTTTTAAAATTATGAATAGTATTTGCTTCCACAACCTGTTCCTGAAGTGCATTCCATTTCCCCACTACTCTCACGCTAAAAGAAAACTTCCTAACATCTCTGTGACTCATCTGAGTTTCAAGCTTCCATCCATGTCCTCTCGTTCTGTTACTATTCCGTGTGAACATTTCGTCTATGTCCACTCTGTCAATCCTTCTGAGTATCTTATACGTTCCTATCATGTCCCCCCTCTCCCTTCTTCTTTCTAGTGTCGTAAGGCACAGTTCCCTCAGGCGCTCCTCATACCCCATCCCTCGTAGCTCTGGGACGAGTGTGTGTGTGTGTGTGTGTGTGTGTGTGTGTGTGTGTGTGTGTGTGTGTGTGTGTGTGTGTGTGTGTGTGTGTGATACCTCTCTCATCTACGTTACATGGATAATATTTTGAGTGGTTGGAGGCAATTTAGTCATTTAGATGCTTAATCGGGTCTGTGCGTGCCGTATATGTTCTCTGTATTCCATCTTCGTTCATAAACCTCTCCTCCTCCTCCCCGTAAAGAGGAGGAAGAAGGAAGTGCGGCCTGTATGTATGTGTGGCGCACTTCCGTTAACCTGTATGTATAGGCCTGTATGTGTGTATGTACTCACCTAATTGTGCTTGCGGGGGTTGCGTCTCGCTCTTTGGTCCCGCCTCTCAACCGTCAGTCAAGTGTCAGAGTGTGTGAGTGTCGACTGAGTGTTTCCATGTGCTGTATGTGAGGGCCTAGTTACTATAGGCCCCTCACGTAATGAGGCCTCATGCTAGGCCTAGCATAGCACATTATATTAAGCCTAAGATAGCATTAGGCCTAGGAGTGTTTAGACAGGTTAGGTTCTTTACTTGCACTTGCAATTTAACAATGGCGTTTGACGGAATTCAGTAATTAAAAACGTGAATAGCTACAGGAACTTGGTGTCCGATTTACAAAGGTTTGATATTGGCAGAAAGTTACGAAATGGGTGGAGTTAGAGGGTGGGCAGGAGCTTGGATAGGGTGGAGTGGGGGGGGTGGGGGGGTTGTAGGTGGAGTGGGGGGGGGAGTGGTGGAGGAAGGGGGGGAGGCAGAAAGGGGGTAGACGGGTATGTAAATGAAGTGAGAGGAAGATCATTGGGGGGCGGGGGGGGGGGGAGGATGTAGATCAGTCAGCCTATATTTAGCTTGGGTAAGATCAGAGGTCAGTCTGAGTTGGCTGCTCTAAATGTGTGTACCCTCTCAACCTCATATTCATATATATATATATATATATATATATATATATATATATATATATATATATACATATATATATACATATATATATATATATACATATATATATATATATATATATATATATATATATATATATATATATATATATATATATATATATACACACACACAATTTATTGTATATATAAATTGACAACAATTTATTGGTGAGATACGTTCCCACTTACTGACTGGCACACTGTACCCCTTACAGTAATACAGTTGTTAACCTCATACTGTACGTAGTTAATCTGTCCACCAGTAGATTGAGGGTTGAGAGGCGGGACCAAAGAGCCAAACGCTCAACCCCCGCAAGCACAACTAGGTGAGCACTGTAGCCGTTACAGTAATACAGTGATGACCAGCGTGCCTGTGATTGGTGTTCACCTCACGCAGCATCGCCTGGTTCCCCGTGTTGTGCTGAATAATTCTCATCCTCTACTTTATTGTCGTTACTAAGTGAGTTAAACTCTCACAAGTCAAGCCTGGCCTCGGGCCGGGCTTGGGGAGTAGAACAACTCCCAGAACCCCATCAACCAGGTATCAACCAGGTATCAACGGTCCTTGTGTAGTCTGTGTTCACACTTCTGGTATAGGCTTCGTCACTTACCTCAGGATGTGGTTTAATTTGTTCTTGTGTCTTCCTGTGTGTGTGTTCGAAGGCTGGGGCTGCATGTTCCAGGAGTCTGACATACGTTGTCTTCAGTGTTCGGGAGCCTCTTCCCCCCTCTCCCCCGCCCCTTGCTTCCCTACAATTCTGAATGTTAATCTTACTTTTTGCCAATTTCTCGTATACTGCTGATGTAATGCTGTTTATGTTGATCCAGTTCTAGGCGAAGGGTAGAGTTGTTTTACCTGTATGTGGCTTGCAGGGCGAGGTTAAGCTCCTGGGTCCTGCCTTTCAGTAGCCGGATGTCTAATACAATGGCGACAAAAAACTTTGTATGTTATACCAACTCTTGGAACTATGTATTGAGTTCGTGTGAACTGTCTCCACTTTGTGCTTCTCTTCACTGAAGAAGTGCTTTATTTCTTTTTGGCTCGTGTGACCTTTGTGTCTGGTCGTGTGTGTGGTCGTGTGTGTGGTCGTGTGTCTGGTCGTGTGTCTGGTCGTGTGTCTGGTCGTGTGTCTGGTCGTGTGTCTGGTCGTGTGTCTGGTCGTGTGTCTGGTCGTGTGTCTGGTCGTGTCTCTGGTCGTGTGTCTGGTCGTGTGTGTGGTCGTGTGTCTGGTCGTGTGTCTGGTCGTGTGTGTGGTCGTGTGTCTGGTCGTGTGTGTGGTCGTGTGTCTGGTCATGTGTCTGGTCGTGGCTCTGGTCGTGCCTCTGGTCGTGCCTCTGGTCATGTGTCTGGTCGTGCCTCTGGTCATGTGTCTGGTCGTGGCTCTGGTCGTGCCTCTGGTCGTGCCTCTGGTCATGTGTCTGGTCGTGGCTCTGGTCATGTGTCTGGTCGTGCCTCTGGTCATGTGTCTGGTCGTGGCTCTGGTCGTGCCTCTGGTCGTGCCTCTGGTCATGTGTCTGGTCGTGGCTCTGGTCATGTGTCTGGTCGTGCCTCTGGTCATGTGTCTGGTCGTGGCTCTGGTCGTGCCTCTGGTCGTGCCTCTGGTCATGTGTCTGGTCGTGCCTCTGGTCATGTGTCTGGTCGTGGCTCTGGTCGTGCCTCTGGTCATGTGTCTGGTCGTGCCTCTGGTCATGTGTCTGGTCGTGTGTCTGGTCGTGGCTCTGGTCGTGCCTCTGGAGTTGTGGTCACGCCATCTATTACCTTCTTCCAGGTTACCTCTTGTACAGCGTCTTGGAGGAAGAAGGGAAAATACTTACGAAGTCAGTTCTTAATAGAAAACAATGTGTGTAAAAGTATAAAAATGTCCAGCTGATGACAAAGAATGTAAAAAAAAGAAAAGAAAATGGAATAAATATTGTATAATGGGTAACTTTGCTAACTGAGAGAGGTGTACTGACTTTTGTAATAGAGTATAATGTATACAAGAGAGAGACAGACTCTTTTATAATCTACAGCTATTAGTGTGTGTGTGTGTGTGTGTACTCACCTAGTTGTGTTTGCGGGGGTTGAGCTCTGGCTCTTTGGTCCCGCCTCTCAACCGTCAATCAACAGGTGTACAGATTCATGAGCCTATCGGGCTCTGTCATATCTACACTTGAAACTGTGTATGGAGTCAGCCTCCACCACATCACTTCCTAATGCATTCCATTTGTCAACCACTTTGACACTAAAAAAGTTCTTTCTAATATCTCTGTGGCTCATTTGGGCACTCAGTTTCCACCTGTGTCCCCTTGTGCGTGTTCCCCTTGTGTTAAATAGACTGTCTTTATCTACCCTATCAATCCCCTTCAGAATCTTGAATGTGGTGATCATGTCCCCCCTAACTCTTCTGTCTTCCAGCGAAGTGAGGTTTAATTCCCGTAGTCTCTCCTCGTAGCTCATACCTCTCAGCTCGGGTACTAGTCTGGTGGCAAACCTTTGAACCTTTTCCAGTTTAGTCTTATCCTTGACTAGATATGGACTCCATGCTGGGGCTGCATACTCCAGGATTGGCCTGACATATGTGGTATACAAAGTTCTGAATGATTCTTTACACAAGTTTCTGAATGCCGTTCGTATGTTGGCCAGCCTGGCATATGCCGCTGATGTTATCCGCTTGATATGTGCTGCAGGAGACAGGTCTGGCGTGATATCAACCCCCAAGTCTTTTTCCTTCTCTGACTCCTGAAGAATTTCCTCTCCCAGATGATACCTTGTATCTGGCCTCCTGCTCCCTACACCTATCTTCATTACATTACATTTGGTTGGGTTAAACTCTAACAACCATTTGTTCGACCATTCCTTCAGCTTGTCTAGGTCTTCTTGAAGCCTCAAACAGTCCTCTTCTGTTTTAATCCTTCTCATAATTTTAGCATCGTCCGCAAACATTGAGAGAAATGAATCGATACCCTCCGGGAGATCATTTACATGATCATGATCATTTGTGTGTGTGTGTGTGTGTGTGTGTGTGTGTGTGTGTGTGTGTGTGTGTGTCCAAGGGTGGAAGCCAGACACTTTGGGCAAGCTTCACCGAACTTGAACTTTTCAAGATGACAAATGGGTGGCTTGTAACCGTCATAGTCTGGTCTGGGTCGGCCACATTGCCTCCCGTTCAGAAATATCGGCCCTTCCAGGCACCCCTCGCGATTTGGATGAAGTCTGAAATTCGGGATGTGTTTGACGCATTAATTCTAAGTATAATTAATACAAACAAATATCCATTTGTTTGTAACATTACATTTTCTGAAGCAGGCAAAACAGTGTGAGTTGTGTAAAATAGATATATTTATATTTAAATATATATTTTTTATACGGGTTATCATTATATAAATAAGTGAAATGTGTGTTTATGTTTCAGCGTGGGTGAGTCAGATTCCCGAAGCGAAGGATGGCGGGGCGTGTGATCTTCTGCACCACCTCCCTCTCCTCAGGCCTTCCAACACGGAGGCCAAGCTCCAGTACCTCTCCATCATACCCAAGGTCAGTCTCTCGGAACACTCCGTACCACAGGTCAGTCTCTCGGAACACTCCGTACCACAGGTCAGTCTCTCGTTAACACTCCGTACCCGAGGTCAGTCTCTCGGAACACTCCGTACCACAGGTCAGTCTCTCGTTAACACTCCGTACCCGAGGTCAGTCTCTCGGAACACTCCGTACCACAGGTCAGTCTCTCGGAACATTCCGTACCACAGGTCAGTCTCTCGTTAACACTCCGTACCCGAGGTCAGTCGATCGTAACACATTAAACCCAACTTAACTGAGTATACAACAACTAAAAGCAGTCAGCCAGTTACCCACCCGACCTGGCAGTTAACAACCCTCACCCAGACTGACACCCAGCTACCACAGGACAAGCTTGGCTCCAGGCCAGGCTTGAGGAATGGAAGAAGTCTGGAAACCCAGCACAAATAACCTTGTGACTACAGGTAAATTCAAGCACACATCCAGAGCCCCCTCTGGAAGATCTCTTGACTGGTTACTCTTGTCTTTGACGTGATGGCAGTGGCCCAACGCCCCCCATCTGCCTAAAGACGATACTAATTGACTTGTGGTGTCGAACTTGGAGTGTGTGGGGCAGTGAGAGCACCAGACACTCTCGGGCGCGCACAGGTAGACGGTTGGAACAAATTAAGTGACGTGGTGGTGGAAGCCAAAACTGTCAGTAGCGTCAAAGAGTTATATGACAAAGAGTGTTGGGTAGACGGGACACCACGGGGCGTAGCTCTCATCCTGTAACTACACTTAGGTAATTACAGGTGTTATGAAGCCTGGTGTAGCTCCTGGTACACTAGCCACAACACTTAATCATCTCATTCAAATATGTGGCAGGATTTTACAAGCTTCTCACAAAGACTTTTTAAGTCCAATGAAGACCAAACTGCCCCCCATTTTCTGGTGATCGTGCTACAGGAACACTATGGTCCGAGAGCAGCTCCTGCAATTGGCTCTCCGACAAACACGCGGTTTCGTACTTAATGATCTAGAGCAGCGGGCGCCAACTGGTGGTCCGCGAGACAATTTTATTTGTGTATTGCATGTAATTGGTGCAATTTCTTTTAACTGTTACATTTAATGGCATCAAATAGTTTGACTGTATTAACTATCATTTCTTGTTTGGTGGACCGTGGGATTCATATTAGTGGTTCGCGGGATTTAAAATTATGAATTGAGTGAACCGTGAACTCCGAAAGGTTGGCGACCGTTGGCGACCGTTGGCGACCGTTACTCTAGAGGTTTCTTGATAGTACCGGCCCCCCCCCCCTCTGGTCACATGTGAAGTGAGTTTCCCCGGACCAGATGAGCTCTCACGCGACTCCCTACAGCTCCTGGTTTATTGATTGATTTTGTTTTTTTTTTGCCTCTGGGTGACGGCTCGTGTTGATGTAACTGCGCTTCATACGCGCCTCCTGTGATGCCATAGCGGAAGTGACGTCACACACCCGTTGAGTGGCATTTTTTTGTCGCCCTTAGTAATTGTTTTTATTTAAATTAAACAAATAATTTTACAATCTAATAAGGTGTGCATGTAAATTGCATCATAACGCCATCCACTCCGCCCGGCCCACCAAGCCGGCCCCCACCAAGCCGGCCCACCACCAAGCCGGCCCACCACCAAGCCGGCCCCCACCAAGCCGGCCCACCACCAAGCCGGCCCACCACCAAGCCGGCCCACCCACTCCGCCCTCGTCATTTCCACCAGCTTTGCATCGTTAAGCACTGAATATTCCTCGAGGTTTTAGTGCATCGTTTCGTCCTTAAATCCATAAGTTAACCTGACCGCTGAGCCAGCTACCGGGTCAACAACCCAGCAAGCCAGGCCTCACCCAACCCGCCCACCACCTTAGCACCCACCCACCCACCCACGCATTCACCCATCCTTTTGAATCCACTCACCCGCCACCCAAACCTTCCTTAAACATCACTAGCTCATCACTCAACATCAGTTCATACAAATGTTAAATCTATTTTCCTAAACATCAAATGGGTTTTACCAGCCCCCGACACCCCCTTCCAAATCTACCAGCCCTGATCACTGGCAAATCTACCAGCCTTGATCACTGGTAAATCTACCAGCCCTGATCACTGGTAAATCTACCAGCCCTGATCACTGGCAAATCTACCAGCCTTGATCACTGGTAAATCTACCAGCCCTGATCACTGGTAAATCTACCAGCCCTGATCACTGGTAAATCTACCAGCCCTGATCACTGCCAAATCTACCAGCCCTGATCACTGCCAAATCTACCAGCCCTGATCACTGACAAATCTACCAGCCCTGATCACTGGCAAATCTACCAGCCTTGATCACTGGTAAATCTACCAGCCCTGATCACTGGTAAATCTACCAGCCCTGATCACTGGTAAATCTACCAGCCCTGATCACTGCCAAATCTACCAGCCCTGATCACTGCCAAATCTACCAGCCCTGATCACTGCCAAATCTACCAGCCCTGATCACTGCCAAATCTACCAGCCCTGATCACTGCCAAATCTACCAGCCCTGATCACTGCCAAATCTACCAGCCCTGATCACTGCCAAATCTACCAGCCCTGATCACTGACAAATCTACCAGCCCTGATCACTGACAAATCTACCAGCCCTGATCACTGACAAATCTACCAGCCCTGATCACTGACAAATCTACCAGCCCTGTGTACGAATACTACGGTCATTAGAGTGTTATTTAACGTGTAAACTGCCCTGTCCCTCCTCCAGCAATAATAATAATAATACCAAATATTGGCCGAACGTACAAAAATGGACTGTTGTACCACACAAAATTTCGGCTTGTATTGCTGGAATAATGCAAATGACGTTCTAAAAATAAACACTCCTAGGCCTAATATACTCCATCTTAGGTATAATTTAGACCAAATATGCATTGTACATGGCATAAGATTGTTTTGACGCGGGCGTTCTCTTATTCCTCATGCGTTCTATAAAATGACTAGTGAAGAACGCGGTCTGGGTGACGCCGACCAGTTGTGAACGCTTCACTACTAGTGTCTACGCGTGCTGACGTTTCTAGATATCACCTTGAAAATGAAAATATCATTCGACTAATATTTGCAAATATAGTGAAATGTGAGATGCGGCCTCCGTAGAGTGTTTCGTTATTTTTGTGTACTCGCCTATTTGTACTCGCATATTTGTGCCTGCAGGATCGAGCATCAGCTCATGGATCTTGCTTTTTTTATCTGCTAGTTGTCTAATGTATTGGCTCCTTACCTATTTTGCCTTTCATCTCTACGCTTAAAATTCTGAAAGTGGTTTCTTTCTGGAACTTCTCTTTTTAGTTTATTCCATTTTCCCACAACTCTTGCTAAAGGAAAACATTTTCAAACATTTGTGACGCTTCTGTGTGTGTGTGTGTTTGCTGGTGCATGCGTGCTTGTTCACTCACATTGTGCTTGCAGGGGGTTGAGCTTCGGCTCTTTGGTCCCGCCTCTCAACTGTCTATTAACTGGTGTACAGGTTCCTGAGCCTATTGGGATCTTATCACATCATCGTTTGAAACTGTGTAAGGAGTCTGCCTCCACCATATCGCTGCTTAGTTCATTCCATCTGTTAACTTGTAGTTAACTATTAGCTACTCTGACACTGAAACAAATTACAATGCCTTTCGTTTGGGTAACATCCGTGCTAAATAGTTGAACTTTGTCCACCCTGTCGAATCTCCCTGAAATTTGTGTATGTGGAAATCATGTCTTCCCTAACTGTTCTGTCTTCCAGCGACGTGAGGCTTAATTTCTGTAGCCCGTTCCTCATGTTACTCATTTCTGGGACCAGTCTGGTGGCGTAGACTACTGGCTTACCTCTGAATTGTCTCCAGCTTCGTCTTGTGTTTAGATACAGACTCCACGCTGGAGCCACGTACTCCAGGACTGGTCTGGAACGTGTTGTACACGGTCCTGAATGCCGTTGATGATATTCATTTCACTTTGTCTCTAGAAGACTCGAACCGCGGCCCCCACCAGTGTGAGGCCCAAGCTCTATCGACCGTTGATGATATCTTAGTGTTGTGGGCTGCAAGAGATCGCTGTGATACCCGGTGTGATATCAACTCACAAGTCCGACTTCATCCGAGTCTTGAAGGATCTCATATCTTATTTGGTACCTTGTGTCGTCAGCTGAGCATTTCCTGCTGATGTGAGTCTGAAGGAAACTTATAACATTTTCCAATTTAAGTTTGTCCGTCTACATTGTGTAGTGTGTACGAGAGCCTGGCACGCGGCAGTGTTGACTGCTCTCTGACGACTTTACTAGCCTGCAGTCTGCTCGCCCTTCCCTGTCTGGCCAGGTTTCGTGTCACTCTATTGTAGAACTTGAAAGAGGTTTTCAGGCATGACTCTCATTTTCAATGAACTCAGGTTAGTGCTAAGTTACAAAGATAATTGTCTCAGGGTGGTTCATTATTCTCATTTTTATTATTATGCTGAGCGCTGGTGAAGGGGCTGGTCTGTACTGGAGTGGTTCCAGTGTTGTTTACGTGATGTGTGTCGCTGTGATAAGTTCCGGTCACTTGGAAGTAATCGTCTCCATTAATGCATTAGAGATCAATGGTGGTGGCTTGTACAGGGTTTGAGCGGCAGGCTTAAGAGTCATGGACAGATCTATCAGGTCCCACAACCGTTGTGACGTCTTTGTATAACCGAGCAAATATAGCGGCGGTCAGGAAAATGATAGGATGGATTATGAGAACGTTCAAATCCAGAGACCCCACAGCCATGCTAATACTATTTAAATCACTGGTGCTGTCTTGAGTATAATGCCTTGAGTATTACTCGGTACTCACTTCCCCTTTCAGAGCTGGGAGAGTTTTCTGAATTAGAGGGAATACAGAGAACATATATACGGCACGCATAGACACGATAAAACATGTAAATTATTGGGACCGTCTCAAAGCTCTCAAAATGTACTCTTTGGAAAGCAGACGAGAAAGGTATCAAATAATATATACATGGAAGATACTTGAAGGCCTGGTCCCAAATTTGCACAGTAGAATAACAACATACTGGAATGAAAGATACGGAAGGAAATGCAGGGTCTGGATAGAACCAGTGAGGAGTAGAGGTGCCATAGGCACAATCAGAGATCACTGTCTGAACATCAGAGGTCCACAGCTGTTCAACACCCTCCCAGCAAGCATTAGTAATATTGCTGGAACAAAGGTGGATGTATTCAAGAGGCACTTAGATAAGTTCTTGCAAGAAGTGCCAGACCAACCAGGCAGTATTGGATATGTGGGCCTGCGGGCTGCTCCAAGCGACAGCCTGTTGGACCAAGTTATCACAAGTCGAGCCTGGGGCGTGGTGAGTCTAAGAACTCCCAGAACCCCTCTCCAGGTATGCTCCAAGTATGCTCCAGGTGTGTCCTATCTCCTGAAGCGGGTCCCTTGCTTCTCTGTCGCTATAAGTGTTCTCGGGCCACACACTGTGGGAGCCCTCCCGTATCAGGGAGTGTTCCATTAAATTGTTAAGACCTTGTGTGTGTGTGCGCCTGCATGTGCTTATATACACTTAAACGCGTTCAGCTACATGTGTTTGCAGGGCACATCAGCTCCTGGTTACTGCCTTACAGACGCCTTCCACATATTAAAATATCTTCCAAACCCTCTTGCTGTTTATACATACAGGTGAAACTACAGTAAGGAGTTAGCCTCAACACCTTACATTCTCTCTCTCTTATCTCACACAAGCGTCGTCTTGCATCCCTATGGCTCATCGGAGTTTATAGTATTGATGCATGTCATCTTGTGCTCGTGCTGAGCATGGGTGGGGGAATGTGGGGGGGGGAGAAGTGGTAATCCCAATAAGTGGTTGTGATGGGGGTGATGGGAGGGGTGGAGGGCGGTGGTGGCGCCCCCCAGGCGGTGCTGGCCAGGCACGGGTGGCGGGAACCTTGGTCTGGCGGGCCCGCCGCTAGGGGCTTCCCGGTCCAGTCATAATTCCTCCTTAACCCATCCTCTCCCTCCCTCCATGGTCTATAAGCTCCCACTTACCCCCTTCCCCTCTCAGCTGATATGCGCACGCACGCGCACACACGCGCGCGCACACATCTGGATGGTATCATCTTGGAGATGAAATTTTTCATGAGTCAGAGAAAAAGACTTGGGGGTTGACATCACGCCAGACCTGTCCCCTGCAGCCCATATCAAGAGGATAACATCAGCGGCATATGCCAGGCTGGCCAACATAAGAACGGCATTCAGAAACTTGTGTAAGGAATCATTCAGAACTTTGTATACCACATATGTCAGGCCAATCCTGGAGTATGCAGCCCCAGCATGGAGTCCATATCTAGTCAAGGATAAGACCAAACTGGAAAAGGTTCAAAGATTTGTCACCAGACTAGTACCCGAGCTGAGAGGTATGAGCTACGAGGAGAGGCTACGGGAATTAAACCTCACTTCGCTGGAAGACAGAAGAGTTAGGGTGGACATGATCACCACATTAAAGATTCTAAAGGGAATTGATAGGGTAGATAAAGACAGGCTGATCTTACCGATATTTAACACAAGGGGCACACACACTAGGGGACACAGGTAGAAACCGAGTGCCCAAATGAGTCAGAGATATTAGAAAGAACTTTTTTGGTGTCAGAGTGGTTGACAAATGGAATGCATTAGGAAGTGATGTGGTGGAGGCTGACTCCATACGCAGTTTCAATTGTAGATATGATAGAGCCCAATAGGCTCAGGAATCTGTACATCAGTTGATTAACAGTTGAGAGGTGGGACTAAAGAGCCAGATTTCAACCCCCTCAAGCATAATTAGGTGAGTATGTACACACACACACACACACACACACACACACACACACACACACACACACACACACACACACACACACACACACGCGCGCACACGCACACGCGCGCACACACATTACGAATGTGTGTGTGTGACGAAAACAACTGAGCAGAGTTTCTTTCATCCTGACGTTCTGTTCACCTAGCATTAAATAGGTACCTGGGCGTTAGATAGCTGTTGCGGGCTGCTTCCTGAAGGGGTGTGTGTGTGTGTGTGGGGTGAATACAACTAGGTGAATAGACACACACATGGGGGTGGGCTGTTGATCCTTGAAAGCTACACAAGGTTGACAAGGTAGGTAGGTACACACACTCACTCACTGTAACTTTCTAGTACATTACTAAAAAGAAAAGCCTTTATAATCCAACATTAACATGGGTTACAGGGACATGGAATCCTGCCTCACATACTTGATCAATAAAAAGTACCTAAGTAACATTAGACAAGAGTCAGTGTGTGTGTATAAAGAGTCAGTAGCATGGCAAATATTACCAGCAAAGTTCCCCAGGTATCAGTTCCATGACTTTTCAAAACATGCAGCTTGAAGAACAAGGTCATAAATTGAAGCTAAGGAAACAAAAGTGCCATAAAAATATTAGGAAGTGCAAACAGTGGTAGACAATTGGAACAAGTTATGTGAGAAAGTGGTGAATGCCAAAACTATCAGTAGTTCCAAAACATAATACGGCTGGGAAGCAGGGGACACTATGAGCATAGCTCTCATGTTCTAACTACAGTTAGGTAATTACACTTTGGTGTATGAAATTACACACACATACATGTATACATATACTGTAGTTACACATCAATGTATTGATGTACATTATTCTGTATAGTATATTATTGAAAAAGCATACAGTACCTGTGAATAAAGTAGTTTTTTTGGCAGTTCATATCATGTTTTCAACAGGTATTGGCACATGCAGTTACATCAGCAGGGACTCAGCCAGCAGCACTGGAAAATGCTCGTCAATTACTCAGTTACTCCCTCATCCACCCAGCCATCACTGCAGAGGAGCGGCGGGCTCTCACCCATTGGCTACGAGCGCTTGAAGACAGATTGGCAGACCTCCGAAGACGACCTCCCAACCAACGAGAAGGTAAGATTCTGATTTCCATTTTATAGTACAGTATATGAGCCTGTGAAAAATTATGCCTGATGATTTTACAAAATTACAACCATTATGAAGGTGAGGTTCAGTAGTCCTGGAAATATGATAAATGTAATTAACATAAAGAAGTTGGGTGAGAATTAGTAGTGCCAAGAAGAAGAATGGTTTATGTAAATGTACCAGTTTTAATTATAGAAAGGATTAACAAAATTACATGTGTGTACCATAAATTTGTTTCTCCCTCATCATTTTCATACTACAAAATGTATTTAATATATTATGTACAGTCCAGGACCAGGACTCGTCAAGCATTTATGAAGCCTTTTACAAAACCTGTACATCTTTCAACAATCAGTTTGAGCTCCAAAGCACTACATGGTTGTTTATAACACTAATACCCCTTAGGGTTGTGAATTTTCAAAGCTCGTAAACTGTAATGTAAACACGGCCGCCATGGTTGTTGAAAGAGGTACGGGTTTCGTAAGTGGTTGCATAAATACTTGATGAATCCTGGCCCTTGGTATTTGTAATTAGCACTTGCTGAACATTAAGAAGCTTTATGCAGGCTTTAACACAATGATACTTTAGGTTTCAGTAGCAACAACAGTGCAACCTCAGGGAACAGTTTGGCAACAGGGAAGTCCAGATGGAATGATCCACCTCTTGGGCCACCTCCAGACACTGGCCAGGTAGGGAAGTGTGCCAAGCATATTTCTTGTTATTTGCTGATTGTATTAAGCTCGGGTATCATTAACAGGGTTTTGTTAGGAAATTACTAACATAAGAACTAATGTATGAACAAAAAATACATTGTTTATATTTGGATGATGTAGTCTCCTAAGTGTTACTTCTGGGTAATTTTTGAATGACTGTAAAAGTAATTGATCCGGGTAACATAAGAATAAGGGAAAGTGCAGAAGGCCTATTGGCTCGTATAATGTATCCCTTAATAGTGATACTAGACATAAACATCTTTGTTTGGTTGCAGGTTGTGTGCACGTTTCATCAATGTAGAAATGTTTACAAAGCTACTGTAATGAAGCTGTAGAGTAACAACCTGAGACAGTCTAAAGCTCTTTCTCAGTAGCCTACTGTATTAACCTAATATTTCTGTATTAGTATTTCTCTGCATCATCTTCAGTGTAACTTTTGTGTAAATGGTTTTTGATAAAAACGAACTTAAGGACTTTTGTGTGATATTGGCTTAGTATTACACTATTTATATTTGTGGAATTAAGGTGGTCATGAATACAAAAGGTATTGATATTACTGAAGTAAGTACATTTTAAAATTGCTCATAATATTCCCATAGTAGTTCAGTGAATATATGGAGTGGATCCTGCAAGAAATTATAGATATACACAGTTTATTGATAAGTTGAGAATCATGTATGAGAAGACTGTTGTAGGTGCGTGTTGTACTGTACCAAAATAATGATGATTAAAACAGACAGAACCTCAGCATGTGAATTACAGTATAGGTAAATACAGGATCACCAGAAGTGCTCAACCAATCACAATGATAAAGGAGACATTTGTATAGGAGAAAGTGAGAGAGAATGAAAGTCAAGAAAAGGAAAGTGGCTGGTCCAATGACAATCATGGTTAGAAATAATAAGATTGGAAGAGATGTGGCTAGAATACTAGAGGGTTAGGTGGAGTATGAGTGCCATCCCCTAATGTACATTTATGAGATATTGGTGAGGTATGAGTGAAAACATCTGAGTTTGAACAGTAGAACTGGACACTTTAACCAAATATATGACAAAGATTGTGTGTGTGTGTGTGTGTGTGTGTGTGTGTGTGTGTGTGTGTGTGTGTGTATTGTGTGTGTATTGTGTGTGTATTGTGTGTGTATTGTGTGTGTATTGTGTGTGTATTGTGTGTGTATTGTGTGTGTGTGTGTGTGTGTGTGTGTGTACTGTGTGTGTGTGTGTATTGTGTGTGTGGGGTTGTGCTCTGTGTGTTTGGTCCCGCCTCTCAACCGTGTGTGTGTGGTGTGTGTGTGTTGTGTGTGTGTATTGGGCTCTATCATATCTACATTTGAAACTGTGTATGGAGTCAGCCTCCACCACATCACTTGTAATGCATTCCATTTACTGTGTACTCTGACACTGAAAAAGTGTTTGTAACGTGTCTGTGTGTTCTTGGGTACTGTGTGTGTGTGTGTGTGTGTGTGTGTCTTGTGGTTGCTTTTCAATGCATTATGGCAATTTGTCTCAATATTGGGGTGATCTTTGATTGTCATGCCTTGTTTACAAAAGTGTGGAGCAAGGGGGGGAGCAATTGGAAGGGATCTTGTCCCTGGTAGGTACTGGGAGACATATTCATACCTGGCATTAGCTAGTCTGACTAGCAACAGCTATTACATAAGCTCAGGGTGTTTGAGGTTAGAAAGTGGTGTTCCATTACACTCATCGCTCTATTTTTGGCAATGTTTTTTCATGTAGTTGCTTATTCACATGTTAACTTTGGCAATTTAGATTCATTAATTTCTGCAAGATCTGTACTGTATGCTCGGGCAGCTTCTCTACATGATTTTGTATCTTTTCTCTTTCATTCAGTTTGTGGGGTTTGTCTTGTTAAATAACTAGGAGACTGCAAATCCCATAACAAATTGCTTGCATTTATATCCAACTAATAACATACGATTCCACTTTCAGGACAGAACGTTGAGCTCTCCTTCCCTGGCTGCTTGGGTTAGTTTATTCTGTATTTTAAGTTTTAAGGTTTTGACTGAAAACACCAATTAATTAGTTATGTTCCTTTTCTGGAAGGGTCACCTCGGTAACTCCCATTAGCTATAGCACTGGGGAGTCCCTCTTAAGCTTACTGGAAACCATTACCAAAATCTTACTCTTTCTCTGAGACAAGGGGAGCTAGGGCAGCATAGATGACTCCAGAACTAAGACAACTTCACCAGAAGAATGATTACATCAAAACAAGCAATTGTTTGGAACTGCCATGGCTGCCATCTGGGGATGGTAGTATGTACTAACCAGCAGTAGTAACTGCCTGACTAATGTGTACAGAGTTAACTGGCTTGACAGTGTCTCTTCTTACAGTGGTTTGAAGTGACTTTATCCTCTAGTATGCTGATCTAGTATCCCAGACTCCCTTTGGTTCTAAAGAGTAAACCAGAGTCTGTTTCTGGTCTCCAGTGAGTGCTTATGACTCACAAGGGCATGGTGGGGGTGTGATAGCTAAGCAGTCAACTGGCTCAAGGAGCCACCGAGGTGGACTCAATACAAAAATGCGTTTCGTTACATTCAACCCATGATTTGTTCTTTCTGTCTTAGTTCAGTATATATACTCCACACATTAAATTATACAAACATTTTCAGCTTTTTTGTAGCTCTTACACCACTTGGCTTGTGTTAGAATTCTTAAAAACTAACTATGGAGTCCACAACAATATTCTGGTTTGTCATATGTCAGACATTTAGGCTTTCATCACACAGAAATTATAAAGAACAATTAAAATACTAGGAAATAATTACTGTATTATATTTCTGACAAGAAAACCAATTCTGTGTAATAGCTTTCATTGCTCATGTATAAGCCAATTTCCCACATTTATCACATGACAGGAAAGTGTCCCGATTTAATATCATCTCAGCAGAGCTATAAGTTTGACCCTCTATTTAGGACAGCTTGTGGCCATGTTCTGCAGATTATTTGCTTTTAATGTCCACTCTCTATCAGGACTGATGCCAAAGGTGTCTGGCATGTGTAAGGTGTCTGGCATGGCTGGGGAGGCATGCACCATGCACAACATTCTTATCATGTAGTGTTGAAAAATAATAGGTTCAAATCAATACAAATTTAGAATTTTAAAAGTTATTGATAAAATAAATTTATCTCCATTGTGTGGCATTGGAAGCTTTTAATTTTTTGTTATGGTTTTGTCACGTTATTCAGCTCGTTTTGATTTCCTCAGCTGTCAGAAGGTATTCATGCTCAGCATGAATACCTAGACTCTGAAGAGTTTGGAGGCTACTAAATAAAAGACTGGACCAATAGGCAATCCCAGAATTTTTTGTATATACTGTTCTTCATAATCACTCAAAGTTTTGTAAATTGTGTGTTTGGTATAAAATATGAAAGCAGCTTGGCCATACCTAACGACATCTGATTCCACTTTCAGGATAGGACGTTGAGCTCTCCTTCCCTGGCTGCTTGGGTTAGTCTATTCTGCATTTACTTTTTTATGACGATAAGATTTTTGATTACGTGATTATGTGTGTGGCAGTTGTGATTTTAAACCATTCCTAAATGTCACAAGTTAGTCCAACTAGGAGCTAACAATTGTCCAGAAAATCTGTCATTGACCAAGTGGATATCCAAATTCAGTAAGAATTCATCTGAACCAGAATTCAGTAAGAGGATAACACAGGTAATAACTAAAGCACTCGATGTAGTGCAATTAGAGGACAATTTGAACAGTATTACTGTTCAACTTTCTGCCAGGAAATACTGTGTAAGAATTATTGTCACACCAAAGGTTATTTAAATGTTGTTCAAATTGAGACTCTTTATAAATTACACAAATATATATATGTATGTATGTGAACCTGTATTATATTAAATATTTTATTATATTTTATCAAAAAACAGTTGCCTGATAGCCAACTGTATGATTTTCACATATATTCCTGGATATATTTAGTAAAGTGAGTTGAATACCAAGTAATATAATTATAATATCTATGCTGCAAATGCTTGCCTTTCTATAGCAGAAAAGATATATTTTCTCCACTAATGAGTATTTCCTTCAATTGACATGCATGTAATTGTGTTACGTGTAGCAGAATATCATGTTAATGATAGACTATTTTCAGAAATGCTTTGATTATATAGTAAACATTATCATTGGATAATGAACATTTATTACTGTAGTCTTCTATGTGATTGTCTGATGGGAAGGTGGTAATAAAAGGATGATGCACAATATGTACAAAAATATGCTATCTAATCGGCCTGAGGAATGGAATGACAAAAGACATTGAATGTTAAGAAGCAATAAAAGCAATTAGACACTACTTCAGTTAAATTTTCATTTGGGTAAAAGTTTAAATATAATATCTATGAATTTATTGCAAGGGCAACTTCAGTACAAATATTGAGTCACCATTAAATTTGTGTAGTAAAGTATTTTATTAAATTTAGAAAATGTCTTGTATGTGTTGAATGATATTTTTATTTAAAACTGTAACTGATATAGTGTATATGATAGTATGTGACACTCTTCCACTAGGATGATGTAGGTTGGTGTAGTGGAGCAGCTGCAGTAGGTGGAGCTCCTGGTGAGGCTCCTCAGTCTCCCAACAACTCGGCCACATCCTCACGCTCTTCAGGTTGTGATTCCAACCCAGAAGAACCTTGCCAGCCACATCCCGGCATGAGAGGTGAGAGGTCATTCTCTAAAATGCATTTTGCTCTGTAAACTCTGGTTACGTAGCGATCTGTCAGAAGACAAGCTGTCACTGGGGGAACTGAAATTATAATCGAATGCAGTCTAGATGGCGTTGGTATCGTTACTTCACTCACCAGAGGTCATCATCATCGATCATAACTCACCTCATAACTGAGGTATGAAACAGGAGCCTTTCACAGATGCCACACCTCTGCCAACAGTTGGCGTTGTCTTTCTCTCACTTAATGCCTTGGAGTTGGAATAAAGGTCCATAGATGGTGTCGATATCACCACACCTCGCTCCATAGAAAGCGTTGATATCGTAACAAACCTGGAAAACAGTCGTCACCCAGAAAGCTAAACAAGGTACAGTATTGAGTAATGAAAGATCAAGGACAAATTGAGGAGCTGGAGAATCCTTCAGAACTGGAAATGGCTATGAAGTTACTACAATGGCCCCTTCTTCCAGCAAGTCACTAATAGCAATCTGAAGGGTAAGCATAGACAGTTGGGTAGAAATCAGGGGCACCTGGTATGGAAATGAAGACCAAAGACTTGGCTGAAACCTGCTGAAAATTTCCTAGACATCCTGCAACAACACACACTTTTTGGAGATTACCCAGATAGCACACTAAAATGAGATGAATGGTAGAGAGTCATTGACATTGAAGAGGAAGAACGAATTGACAGCACAGCCTGCACTGGAAGCACTGGCATACCAGAGCCAAGAGCCTGAGAAAAAGCTTCCTAAAACAACCCACAACAGGGACCATAAAAGCAAAATACTGTACATCCAAAATACGTACAAGAGAGATCAGAAAGAAACTCCTGCCACAGCCAGTGCACAATCTGCCACCCATGAAGGAAACAGAAATGTGGAAACATACAAATAAATTATAAAGAGAGCGACCAAGCAGACTCCTGAAATTCAAGAAACCCTGAATTCATGATGTAGCCAGGAAGTGGCTGTGATGCTGAGCTCAAATGCATTTGTGTCCATGAACAGGGACCCAGGAATATTTTGTAAAAGAGCATAATAATAGAAGGATTTGGGGTATATGGTAAAGTTACTATGCATAGTTAAAATTACATGGCTGGTTATTCTTTTATGGTTTTTACTCATTTACTCACCCCTTAGAGAGTCAATTAGCTACAATGAATAATAAGGTCCAGGGGCTGGACCATGGGAAAGACCCGGAAAATTATTAAAACTGTATAAGTACTTTGTGATATCCATCATGAGGGGGAAGGGAATTATCAGGGGAAAGTGCCAAGCCAATATTACTATATAGCATTTGGAAGGGGTCAGGATAAGGATCTGGGATGGGACGGGGGAAAGGAATGGTGCCCAACCACTTGAACGATCAGGGATTGAATGCTGACCTGCATGAAGCGAGACAATCGTTCTACCGTCCACCTTAAGTGGTTGGGTTATCATGAGGGGCGATTTCATCTAGTAGATACACTCAGGAAGCATTTGAAATAAAAGGGCATTAATGGTATCTTTCTAATATTGCTCTAATCACTTTATTGAAGATTTTTGTAAAACAAAAGTCACTCGTGTGGTGGTGGTGGTGCAGAACAGAAGAATGGGAGCTGTAGGGAAGCCATTGAGCACGGTTAAAGAAAAATTTTTTAGTTTTAATTTAATTTCTTGGTAAAATATCAACATGCACTTGTGTAAAACAAACAATTAATTACATTAAATAGAAATAATGTCCATAGTTACCCTGCCTGGAAGTGGATTGTTAGGAATCCACAGCACAGAACTGGGAGTTTTCTGTTTATAAAATTCTAATGTACACTATAACTTGTTCAGTCTTTCATTAATATTGATGATTGTAGATTTTTGTCATTGCTCTAAGTTCTATGCATTTTTTTCTGTAAAGAACATAATGTGTTATACATCAAACTATTTTCTGGGGGAGACCCAGATAGCTCTGGGGAGCTCCAGGTCTCACCCAGAAAATTGTGTTTCATCACATTCAACGCTGGTTTTTTACCAAATTAATTTTTTTACTGTTCCATTAGACAATGGCACTACTGTAAATCTGTCAAGGAATCTGTTTAGTTAATGTGTAATTATAACATATTTAACTCGCCTTTTGTTAATGTGGCTGTTTGTCTTGGTGAAAAATAGATGAAGAACATAAGGCTAACCATAATTAACCTTAATCTTGATTGTGTTTAGACATAGAACTTGTCATTTGTCTCATATTACAGATGTTGGCGTGTGGCTTAAGTCTCTTCGTCTGCACAAATACTCACCATTGCTCTGTAGTTTAACTTACGATGAGCTGTTGGCACTAGATGAGGGAACGCTGGAGAGTCAGGGTGTTACCAAAGGAGCACGGCACAAAATTGTTTTGTCTATTAATAAACTAAAGGAACGTCACAAGCAGTTAGTTCAGATTGAAAAGGTAAATGACCAAACCTTGATGTTTGTTAAAGAAATATGCACACAGACATTTCATTATGAAGAGAACTAATAATTTGATTGTTTTCCAATATATTTAAGACCGATTTATAGTAAATTTCTAAAACTACAATAGTTATATTCTTTTATTAGAGATACTGTACAATACATTTATCTTATCTATAACAGTATTTCTAAAAATTGGATTTTCAGCCATACTAGAAGAGAGTTCACTGAATTTTGTTTATTTTAATTTTGCCAAAATATATTAATTGTGTTGTTGAATTAATAAATAGCAAAATGTTTCTGACCTACAGGAAGTGATGAATGGTGGTCACCTACTATCTTGCCTCAACGAACTCAAATCGATAATCCTCACTCCTTTCCCACCTTACAATCCTCCAAGTGAATCCACTGAACCCTCCCAACAACTACAGCAGCCTCCTCCCACCTCCTCTCCTCCAGCGGCAGCCTCAACACCTCCAGCCTCCACCATGTCTTCCTCCACTACAAATTCCACCTTCTCTCCATCTTTTTCCACTTCATCTGCAACAACCACCACTGCCTCATCAGCCTCTTCACTATCAACTTCCACTTCCTCATCTGCTTGCTCTCTGAGAGGAGAAGATAGAGAACTTATGAAAGAAGATAGACTCGACGCTCCGAGGGCTACAATGGAGGCAGACAGCGGCAACACCATCGCCGAGAACGACCTTCCTTCACAGTTTACACGGGTTATGGGAAAAGGTGAGCTAGCCTTAATTATTATAACGCAAGTCATATTGAGCCACCACTTGATGATACTGTAATAAGAAAGAATAATATTCTTGAGGGGCAAAAAGTCAACCATTCAGGCTCGTCTTGTAGCTAGGGCCTCGGTACTAACACAGCATCCATGGGTAGCACATGCAGCAGCAGTTCACTGCACTACCATATAGCTTGTGCTTGCAGCATCAATTAATGAGGACAAAATAAATATCTACAATTATTTATTGATGATAGTGACCTAGAAGACCCTGACGCTGATAAAGATTCAGATATCAGTAAACCTGATGCTACTGATGATGTTCACATAGCAGACAGTCAAAGCACACAACTGTGGTTTGGTGCCTGTATGCACCATGCAATGGAATCTCATGTTACTTTAGGAAATGAACATGTGAAAAATTACTCATATTCAGAATTTAGTAAACAGGATTCTGATAATAAGTGTTTGGGCTTGAGTTAGTGATGTGCATAGTATGTCAAGTGGTGCTCTGCTTTGTCAGGTGCTGTCAGCAAATGACAAGCACATATTGCTATGCTGATCATGGGTCAATGGTTACAAGATTGTCTTTCTTGCCAAAACTGCTGAGTGGTTCACACTAGTATATAAACTTGTAGACAGTTATGTATAGCATGTGAATATTTTGATAACATTGAAAAAGTATGTTTTATTGTTTTTATATTGTGGTGTGCATATTAGTTACACAAATGTATCTGTGCATACTGATGTTCTATACTTTTCGTGATATAAATAACATTATTGACTGCCTAATGCATCATTGCACTTGAAAAAATGATGATAGAAATATTAAAATACAAATAAAACTAAATATATTCAGTTTGTGTATTGTACATATAACTTTATTGGTGCAAAATGTGTCAGACTAGGCTTGCCTTGGATCAAGGGTTACGAGATAATCACACTAGTCAGAACTGCTTAATGGTTCGTAATGATAAATAAAAATACAGATATTATGTATAACATGTGATAATAGCAAAACGGTATGTTTTATTGTCCGAAGAGTATACAGTACTTGAATATTGTGCGCATGTTAATGACACAAATGTATTTGTGTGTATCAATGTTCTGCACATTTTATTACAGAAATGTCTCAAATTACATACTATTGCATAATATAACTGCAAAAAACAGTGAAAAAACAAATCATTCACTCTGAAGTAAATTGGTGTAAATATATATACTGTACGGCAATTCCCGCTGCCCGCTAAGCCCCAGGCGACCTCCACTGGCTGTCTTGTCCATCAGCAATAGTGATTCAGTGACGTTATTGTGAGACTTCCTTTCCCCACTATAGCCAAAGTAAGCTACCTAAAAACTTGATTAGTTACCCATGATCAGGGAATTAATTTTGGCCACTATTAGAAACATAAAATTTTTATTTTTGTTCGTTCGCTTCACAGTTGTCATGTGAAACAGGTGTGCAGTGCAGGGGTTTATGTACAATAATGATGATAATGTATTTCCTTAACTAGTAAATCATTAGCAATTGAAACAAAATTACTTAAGTTGTATATTTAATTGATAGAAAACCTGTTACAAGTTTGTACTAGTAAAAGCCTAAATTTAAATTATTTCTTGATGGCTAGCATTTTACAAAGTATAAATTTACAAAATTTTGTTTCAGTATGTACGCAGTTGTTGGTTAGTGTGAGACCAGAAGATGAGTGTGTTACTGCTTTCTTAGGGTTAGTAGAAAAGTGTGTCAACCACGAGGCATTTACCCCAACTCAAGCACGGAGATTACAATCCTGGAAACAACAGATTATCCGTGTTTGGCATCCTCTTCCACCTAAAACAAAAGACAGTCGCCACAATCGCAGGTATCTGTCGTTTTGAAGTTTCGTCTTGAGTAGTATATTTCCTGAGACGTAATGAGAGTTGTTAGTTTTATGAAGTGTTGAAGACTTTTATTCTTATTTGTTTAGCCATTGCAGCTGCTACATGTACCCATGCTCTTCATAGGTTGGAGAGAATATCCAGTTAAAAATGTGTAGCGATTATAAAAATATGGTTGTCTTTACACCTTTTGTGGTACATTACATGCTGTAATGCATGTAATGCATTACATGCTGTAGGAACATGCTGTAGGAACTCCTAGTTCCTACATGCTGTAGGAACTGTCTAGTCATCAGTCCTTGTGACATGATACGGTTATATTATCATGGGTCCTGAAGATTTGAGTGGGAGATATTTCATTATATTTTTGCTACTCCTGGCCTAGTGGTAATTTTTTCACCATTCAAGAAAGTTTTCAAATTTTACTTTGTTTAGGGAGGGTTGTACAGTATCTACTTCATTTCTTCATAGTGCTAGAGTAGAAAATGTAAAAGTTTATTTGAAGATTAATTATTCACATGGTGTTGCTTGTTATAGCTTAAATGGAGAATGTTTTCCCTGTTGCATTCTTGTAGTTCTCTCGCCTCCTCTCTGATGCATTTTTTCTTTTCTTAATACCTAATGTTGTAAAAGTATACTCAAGTTATCTCACAAATTGTTCAGTTATTGTATAATATTTATGTACTTTAAATTTATTTAATAAAAAGAACTTGCCAGTGTTTATTTAATGTTTCGAGTTCTTGCCTTCGTGTGCTCTCATGCTTATTAATTCTTTAACCTTTTCCAATTCTTAAATTTTTGAAGAAATATTCTTATTTTATGCAATTGCACATTTTAAACAATTTCATTTATAAATCGGTGAGAGATGGTAACCAATATGGAGAAACCAGGAATGGTTTTTTAGGTATGTCTGATGACTTAAGAGGCAACAACTTCAAATGTGACCTTCTGTTATCTGGAGGAATAACAGTTATTCCTCTTCTTAATTTTAATGACTTCCCATGATTAACAGTGAGGCATAATGTGGCATTGTTTGTTTATTTATTTGTCTTTTTTTTACATTTCCTGCATTGTAATTTATGTGACCAGTTTTTAAAGTTTCTAGTCATTTGGAAGAAAATAATAATAAAACAAATCACTTTTTATCCTTATGTAGATGGAGTCAGCAATACAGTGGTGATGGATTCCTTGGGGGATCCTTCAGGGTTCCTAGGGTTGGTGGCCAGCGTCACACTCACATACCAGCAGGGCTCCTCGTAGGGGGTAAGGGCTTCCCTGCACCCCAGCCACATCCGCTCTTCCCTTTACCACCTGCTGCAGCTGCGGCTGTTAGTCTTGGTGGGCTGATGAGTCCACGTAATAGTTTACCTGGCCTGCCCTCACTTGGTGTAGGAGGGCTGCTGTCTCCACAACAGTTCCTTGCCAAACGACCTTCACTTCAAGAGACTCCTTCTGAGGTAAGTTTCAGCTTATATCTTTTTCTTTCTGGATTCCTCAGTAGTTTTCTTGAGCTAAAGCCACTGATTTAGACAGGCCACTAATAACAGTCGGGTCTCTAATGACTTTAGTAAGTCTGCCAGGGACACAGGATCAGAATCTGCCTCCCTCGCTAAGGAAGAGAAGCATAGGAATTAGCAATGGATGCACTACCAAGGCAATCCTCACAGAGTTAAATATTTCATCAAACAAACAAATACTCCTTGAAACCTAATTAAATCATTTGAAAACATGACAAGTGATAATTAGAGGGTAACAACCCTGCCAATACTCCTCCGACTGTCACTAGATGGCAACATAAGTCACAGAGGCCATCTATCATCTGCCTTAATTCTTTTTTTTTTCTCTTACTGTGAGCAGCGATTTATTTTGTTTTGCCTGAGACTTTTTGTGATTTTATTGGTATGATGAGAGAATCAGTGTTAAGAGTCCAAGACTTTTCAATGCTCTCCCTCTACACAAAAGGAGCATAACTAACCAACCTCTCACAGTATTCAAAAGAGAATTTGATGAACACCTCCAAAGGATACCTGATCAACTGGGCTGTGATTTATTAATCAGGTTGCGAGCAGTTGCGTCTAACAGCCTGGTTGACCAGACCACCAAACAGGATGCTTGGTCAGAGACCAGACCATGGGGGACATTGATCCCTAGAACCAACAACATGTAGAACGGGTAGTTGGGTTGATTGCTCCTCTGTGAGTGAACCAGATTCTGATCTGGTAACTGTAGGCCATGCTCATTGTATTTGCTGCTTTTACTTCACATGCAATTTTCTTTTATTTTACAATTTGTTGTCTTTTCTCAGAGGTTGTTGGTTCAAGAAGAATCCTTGCAAGTCAAACTTCTTCACAAATCTCTTTAAATCTATAACTTTTATTTTTACAGTTGAGACCACACATCACTTTACAGCGAACAAGATCAGCACCATCCCGTCCGCATCAGTTACCACTGACTGGTGCTGCTCGTTCTGTTGCTGCTCCAACCACGTCTTCGTCTCTTACCCCAGTGAGCAGCGGCTGTGGAGAACTACGTATTTCTGGGAGTTCAGGGGCTTCAGGACTAGTGATGGAACCTCATTTTTCACCTGCAACATCGTACTCTCACTTGGGAGCTCCTCCATCATCTCCAGATCCAGCAGATAATGATATTACAGACCGTTTGGAGTCACTCTGTCTCTCTGTCACTGAACATGCTCTGGGTTAAATTTACATCTGATACTACCACTTACAGTAGTTCTCCATCCACATCGTATCTATGCTAAAAAGGTTAAGCAGATAAAGGTAAAAATCGGTAAATAAATAAACATATACAGTATACTGTTTTATATATATATATATATATATATATATATATATATATATATATATATATATATATATATATATATATATATATATATATATATATATATATATATATATATATATATATATATATATATATATATATATATATATATATATATATGTATATATATATATATGTATATATATATATATGTATATATATATATATGTATATATATATATATGTATATATATATATATATATATATATATATATATATATATATATGTATATATATATATATGTATATATATATATATATATATATATATATATATATATATATATATATATATATATATATATATATATATATATATATGTATATATATATATATATATATATATATATATGTATATATATATATATATATATATATATATATATATATATATATATATATATATATATATATATATATATATATATATATATATATATATATATATATATATATATATATATATATATATATATATATATATATATATATATATATATATATATATATATATATATATATATATATATATATATATATATATATATATATATATATATATATGTATATATATATATATATATATATATATATATATATATATATATATATATATGTATATATATATATATATATATATATATATATATATATATATATATATATATATATATATATATATATATATATATATATATATATATATATATATATATATATATATATATATATATATATGTATATATATATATATATATATATATATATATATATATATATATATATGTATATATATATATATATGTATATATATATATATATGTATATATATATATATATGTATATATATATATATGTATATATATATATATATATATGTATATATATATATATATGTATATATATATATATGTATATATATATATATATATATATATATATATATGTATATATATATATATGTATATATATATATGTATATATGTATATATGTATATATATATATATATATATATATATATATGTATATATATATATATATATATATATATATATATATATATATATATATATATATATATATATATATATATATATATATATATATATACTCTGTAAAATTATAATTATAAATATATAATTATACAACTGGGTCATATCATATCAAATTTCACAAAAAAAATTATAAAAAGCAGAAAATCAGATCATTGGTAAAATATAAATAAATACTTTGAAATAGAAAATTAATATCAACAATATCTCTCATAACATATCATACTGATAAAACACACCTCATTAAATTGCCTTTCATGTGTCTTTTTATAGAGTATCATACAGATGTAGCAGTTAAATATAATAGGGAAATACAGTAAGCATGAAATTGTGTTTGTAGAGTTCAGATGAGAGTTGGATGGAGTTCTTGTTTGTGGGATTTGTACTGGTCACTATGGATATCTGTAATTACAATGTGCCTGCTGTCTTGTTGGCCCACTCGGGAGCAGTTTAATAAGCATATCCTTTGCTGTGCAGGGATGCCAGACCAAGCTGTGCTTGGTGCTGGCTTAGTTCACCTCCTTAGTGGTCACCAGTCAGTTAGCCTTTTACTCGAGACTGATTAGAAGGTCAGAGAGATGGGGTATTAAGATTTTCATGTTTCTCTCTTTCTCTAATCTCTTATTATAATTTGGATTGCATTTCTTTAATATTTTTCATCTTTTTACCAGATATCTCTACTTTCAAGTCACTGTCTATATATGATACAATTTAAGGTGCACAGCAAGTTGCAGTTTGGTGAAGCAATAGCTGTGCAGCTTTATAAGCCAGCGTGAGAAGCTACTGTGTGGCATTATAGAATCCCCATGCCGAATGCTTTTTCATTGACTGTATTTAAGCCTGTATCTGCTGTAAATAAATTAGCTTGTAATGATCAGATGGCTTTTTTTTTATGAGTCATTGAAACTTACTTGACACCAAATTATAAATTATCTAGTGTGATAGTCTCAAGACATGTACACAGTTATGTTTAGTTATTAAATCTATTTCAAATAAATTCTGTTTTATTCACTTAGAAGATCTTTGAGTGTATGTGTTTTAGTTGTGTTCTGTGGCTCTACTGTAGTACCTGCAGCCAAGAATATGATGCCAACAGTAAGTGTTGAGAAAAAACATCATCATTATTGCTCTCATCATGATGATGTCTGCCTTGTTTTCTGTTGTCATTGGGCAGGAAGGCACCAGCCAGGATTTTTTTCTAAAAAGTTTGTAGGAAAAAGTAGTTTAGGATGTATGAAGAGGGACCTGAACTTTTATTTTACTTCCTGTGATCAGTGACAATGTGAAAAAGTAGTGCCACTACACAAGTAAAAATATGTACAGAAGTATTCAGCCACATCGTGTGATATATCTAATGTATTCATTGTGAATGATCATACAAATTTATCTATTCACCTTTTAGTCTTTTATCTTCTACTCTCAGAAACACTTGTATACAATTTCATCATTGCTTACTCATTATTCATTTGTTTCACATAATGAGATGTGAAATGATCACGCAGATCATTCACTGTGCATGTCGCACAGTGGAAGGGATGATCTCGCTTATTGTCCATAAACTGCGCAACACGGTTGGAGATCTTTTAAAGTACTTTAATGTGCAAATTTTAAATTTGCCCTGTGGGTACACAGGGCAAATTTTAGCTTCCTCTGGCCTCCAGTAAACAGATGCCAATTTGGACAAATATCATCGGCACCTCTGGGTGTGAGGGGCCTCAGTACTGATAGGGCGATCATGAATAGCTCACGCAACAGCAGCACACATCACTATCATGCAGCTTGGCCCCCATACCAACACTTGCCAGTAATAAAGATGAAACAAATAAGGAACTCTGATTATTTTAAGATGATAGTGCCATAGAAGAGCCTGACTGTGATAAAACTATGTACAAAGTTCAGATATCAGTGAATCTGAGGCTGGTTATGATGTTCACAACACAAGGCAGACATCCACAACTCAGCCGGGGTTTGGTGCATCTACGCATAATGAAATTGGACCTCATGTTCATTTAGAAAGTAATCGTTTGGAAAATTATTCATATTCAGGATTTACTGACCAGGATTCTAACAATAATATCAGTGTTGTGGCAAAAGTTAGCAATATGCATGGTATATTAGGTGGTGTTTTGCTGTGTCAGGTGCCGTCGGCAACTGACTAGCATATGGCACTATCCTGTGCTTGCATTATGAGATTATAACACCCATTTGAATTACCTAATGGTTCATTATGGTGCATAAAAATGTAAATACTTTTATATACACTGTAATAACAGCAAAAATAGTATGATTTATTGTTCAAGAATATAATATGTGCACATTAGTGCCATCAATATATTTGTGCATACCTATGTTCTACACATTGTGATACAAATAACATTATTGACAGTCCAGTGTATCATTGCACTTGAAAAAAGGGTAAAAAACATACAATGAAGTGTATGATGAAATACAATACATTCGATGTGTACATTTACAACTTTGTGCAAAATATACAGGGCTAGGCTGAACGTAGATCACTGGTTAAAACATTATTACACCTGCCAGAACTGCCAAGTGGTTCGTAATGGTGGACTAAAATGTAGACCTAGGCAAGTGCACATCAAAGAGGTCACACACTAAACAGACCAATGAAGACACACTCAGACCAGAAGATACAGAGACAATCAAGAGATAAAAGTTCATACTGATAAACTCAGTCACATTAACTTACTCAGACTGATCACAATACAAGATAATACAAGGATGGATACAAACACAATGGATTAAGTATACAGAAGGCCTTTATTGGCTAATACTTGGCAATACAAGTATATACACGGTACATAATACAAAAATTCGGTTGACTCAGAGATGGAGAATCTGCAGGAGGAACGGGAGATAAGAAAGGAAGAAATAAGATAAAACAGTAGGAAGAGTAAGTAAATAATTATCAAAAGAAAAAGGAAAAAACAAAAAAGAAAGAGGTGGAAGAAGTAATGACAAAGGGAGACAATGGCAGGAAAGTATAGTGTAGGGTGAGGTGGGATATATGTAGATATATGGTATAGGGAATATATATAAGAGGAGTGCTATAGGGGTACAAATGGCGCACAGAAAAGTATGGCACTGGTTGCCTCGGTGTGTTTGGTGTTTTAATGGCTTGAGTTTTTTCCGGTGTTTTAAATATTAGTTTTGGTGTTCATTCTTTCGTGTGTACAGACAACATGTATACATAAATTTCATGATGAAAACAAAATTATTCATTGATTATAATGACTATTACAAATAAGTATTAAAGATAGGTATTCGAATTTGTGTATTGTTAAAAATTCTCAAGATATAAATTATTAATATGTAAGTACCTGTACTGTACTTCATTCTATGTTGGCCAGTAATGAAGACTGAATATTTTTATGGATATATTTTCTTTATTAAGGCACTAAGATGCTGGTGATCTTGAGATTTTTTTTTTTGGTTACATAGTAACCTTAACGAGGATGCAGAGAGCTTTTGATAGTGCTACAATGCTACAATGTTTGCAGCTACTTCTGTCACTGCAAGATTGATTTTGCTCAAAATGCTGTAGAATTGTTTATAATTTAATTATGGTGCTGCACCATCACAGAGATCACTGGTAATGCTGTAAAATCAGCTGCATTTTTTTAGAGCTTTAGTTGTCCTTAATTGATGTAATTAAGGACAATGTATACAATTCTGGGTATTCTTAATTGATGCTATACAATTCTGGGTATCAACTCAGTTTGTGATTTTTAATGCAACATGATTGCCTGTGAGTGATGTCTGTGTCGTTTTAATTACATATGCAAATCGATTTTAATATTTCATAAACACTGCATCATCTTAATCATAAAATGTTGCATAGTCAGCTGAAGCTGGCTGTTTACTGCTGCTTTTGTCTCCTGCGCTCAGCCAGCTGCTGTCTAAGGGCATCTAATTCAGCCTGCCTCTTCTCCTCGGCAAGGCGCTGACGTTCCCTCTGTTCTCTGTACAGAGCCAGCTCCTCTGGGGTGTAGTAGTTCTCACTAATGGGTAGAGATCAGAAAAAATTATGACATATGCAGGCCACTTTGAAGGAAAGGAAACAGTTTTTCTGTCTTCCAGTCCAGTACTAATAGATATTCAGGCATTCTTGAAAGAGTAGTCAAGCTCCAATATAAAATTGCAGAAATTAATGTAAAACTCATTAGCACATTTAAGAAATTAAAGAAAACTTTAAGATTCATATATAATAACAATAAAAAAGCAAGACCAATGAGCAACAACACATCATGTAACTTTTCCAGTGGGGCATGAAGAGAAAAAGATGACCTTACCATCCACGGACATTCTGTGGCTCATCACAGGTGTAGGTTTCCTCGTTAAAGACAAGTCCAAGCTGGCAGAACTGAAGCCTTGGGGAGGTCTTCACACAGATGAAGAACTGGCGGCAGTCACGGGGGGATCGGTACTGTGGGTATCCGCTGAGTAACAGCTGATTGGTGGCCACGTTGTTGGGGCAGGAGAATCCAAGGAAAGCTGCAGGGGAACGAGACAAATGTTTAGGAGAGTGGATGTGCACAATGAGGGTATACACAAAGGGTGTAGACTACATGTTGGAACATGGATAAAGGATGTTGAGGGGATTTCAGGTATAGAGAAGCTGTACGCTGTGCATATGTAATAGCAGCATGTGCACTGAATGCAAATTGAGTTAAGACATAATAAAAAAGCTGAATTAGTCCATAAATGATGGATGTGCAGCTGAACTAGAATATGGATAATAGATGTACATAACACTGAAAGCATTGAAAATAAATGTACAGTCGAGCTAGACATTAATTATGTGTGTACATTGAATTAGGGCATGGTTATGAGGTGTACTGCTGAGCTATGGCATAGGTAAGTGATGTATGTGGATTTGAAGCATTTATAATGTTTATAGGTGGAGTTGAGACATGGATAATGGGTATACATTGAATTGGAGCATGTATAAGGGGTGTATTGTAAAGAAGGAAGTGTATATGAAGGTGGGACATTGATAAAGAATGGACAATGACATTTATGCATGGACAGATGTTCATGAGCAATAGATCCTTAAAGAAAGGCATGATTTAGGATATACATAAAGTTTTGGCATGGATAATGAGGTTATAATGGAGTTGGGGCATGAATAAGGGGTGTACATAAAGTTGGAGCATGGATAGAGGTCATACATAACGTTGGAGGTAGGATAAGGGGTGTGGCTATGAAGTTGAAAATAAAGGTAATTGGAGTTAGAGAATTAGCAAGGGATAAATATGAAATTAAGGCATGTACAAGAGCTGCATAGTGTAACTGGGACAAGAATGTGGGATGTATATGAGTTAGTTCATGGATTGTGACTACACGGTGAATATGGATGAACATAGATATGGGGAGTACATTGGAGCTAGAGACATAGATAAGGGGCGTACAGTATATGGTTATTGGGAATACAGTAAAGCTGAGTGTGGTTAAGAGTTGTATATATGGAGTTAGGATATGAATAAGTTGTGTACATTGAAGTGGGACATGGATCTAGGGTGTACATGGAGTTGGAAGTGAAGATAATGGACGTTTAATGGATCTGGAGCATTAATAAGGATGGACACCGGGCTTAGGATATAGACAAGGAATGTACACCGGAGGACGCGTGAATAAGGAATGTATCTAGAGTTGAATGTAAATATGGAATATTGGAATGATATTAGTAGTCAATGGGTTTTAAATAGGGGTGATTGTAGTGGAGGTGGTGTCGTAGTGGTGTTTGATGGAGGAACATACCACGATGTAGGGTAGATGACCATGTATGGTGGAGAATGGTGAGGGAGGACGAGCACTCAGAAGTATTTGACACTCATGATGTCTCACGGATTTCATAAGATACATCTACTAGTCAGTACTCACTATACTTCAACGGTAAACACAGTATTTGAATGTACTGTATGTATATATGAAGTACACATAATAATAAAATAACAAATTTATCCAGGCCTCGCAAATGGTTTAAATCCATCTAAATAGTACAGACAGTACAGTATCAGTACAGTACAATACATTAAATCGTACAGAATCGTACAAACCGTGAGAAAAATTATTGTCAAATACCAAAAAAAAACGCACGTTTGGCTAATGTTATTCAAAAATGTGATTCAAACAGGGTAAATGAGCGAAACAGCGTTCGAGAACAATTCGAAGATAAGAGCTGGGAGAGGTTTAGGTCAGTGTTACGCGGGCGCGGAAGGAGGGAGGAGCTCACACCTTCAGCGTCGCAGTCGGAGGACTCATCGGGCCACTCGCAACGGTAGGTGCTGGAGGCGAAGGCGAGGCCGGCCGGGCAGGACACCTGGTAACCCACGCCGTTGACGCAGTTGTAGAAGTAGCCACACTCGGCGGGGTTCCCGGAGCCGAAGTATCCCCACTGGTGCGGGCAGTTCTCCGCCGGCTGTGGTGGCTCTGGACACCATAACAAGAAGTAAGTATTTTGTTTAGTTTCCGTAGATTTCGGCTTCCCGTCGGGATCCACATCTTACATAAGACACACACAAGATGGCTACACACCTTGTCATACTTCTTAGACTGATTGATAAAGATTAAGCCACCCAAGAGGTGGCACGGGCATGAATAGCCCATAATTCTAATTCCCGTAACTAATACTTCTTAGTGTTGACAAAACATTATCTAGCGTCTGAACGAATCTGAATTGAATGTACAAAATACAGGCGGTTGCACCCAAAAGTCCACATTTTATACTAATGATTTTGTAGAGGTCTTGAGAAAATGGTAACAACAAAGAAACTAACATTTCCTAGCCCTATATGCAATGTATATACAACATTAGGCTTTAGATTGCATATACTAGACCTGAGATTCCTTATTTACGCCTTTGGTTAGGCTGTGTTGATGATTATTTATATTTAATTTTTGTAATATCCCTTGAAATTCCAGTAGGTCAAAACTTGTTATTTTGTGCAACTCCATACATGTACATTCCATTCATAATAGCTATAGGTAAAGTCAAGTTGGATAGCGGGTTGATATAAATTACTTTTCCTCATATAGTTTATATAAAATATGTAAATATTTATATTACTGTACCCAATAACTAGAACTGAACTATTAGACTTAAATTGGCAAAAATAGTTTTGCATAAGAGCGATTTTTTATATTTGCAAATATTACTTTTTAAATTGGTGAGCTCTTGTTAATATTAACATACAGGTATATCAGTTACACGAATTGCTAACTTCGGCCCAATTTTAATTATGGTGGGAAGTATTGAGGAATAATAGATATGTTTAGGTTAGAATAGCATACAAAGTTTAAATAAAAATAAAAATAAGAATTGTAACCACTAAATTTAATGTATCTATGAATGCACATGTTAAAATCTCAGAAAAAATCTATATTTTAATGAAATACAAATTGTGTTACTTTGGCTATTAAGTACAACATATAATGCTGATGGTCATTTAGAATTTATTTGAAATGTAGGTGTGCAAACACACACACACATATATATATATATATATATATATATATATATATATATATATATATATATATATATATATATATATATAATATACCTGTATATTTAATCTTCTGGTTTAGGGCTTCTATCCCTCTATTATTCTTGCATCAGGGTTTAGTTGAAAGAGGAGTTCTCCAAATATCATGTTCGTTTTTCAAGGTGAAGAAAAAAGTGAATAACAATAGAATGTATTACACTTATTATACAATTGCACTACGTTGCAATTGTGCTCTGACTTTGTGCAATTGTATAATAAGTGTAATACATTCTATAGTTATTCACTTTTTTCTTCACCTTGAAAAACGAACACGATATTTGGAGAACTCCTCTTTCAACTAAACCCTGATGCAAGAATAATAGAGGGATAGAAGCCCTAAACCGGAAGATAGTTAATACAGAATATTCTGTCATATTCAATGAGACATGTTTAAAAGAAAGCCTGCTGCCAGTAGTGTGTGTGTATATATAATATATATATATATATATATATATATATATATATATATATATATATATATATATATATATATATATATATAATATACACATGCGTGCACACGCGCTATATTATAACAAAACTAGGAGGCGGGATACAATGATGATAACATGTGTACTCACTCGTGCACGTCTCCCACTGTAACCCCCCCTCCCCTATACCTGCACCTCCACATCCAACTTTGGAACACTATTCAGTGGTGAGGGATATTGTGTGCTATGACCACCTGGATGAGAGTTTAGTATGACTGACGAAGCCTCGCTAATGACTTCTGACAAATTGTGCTCCATCATTTAATCTGTTGGGCCACATAGTCATTCATGTTCCTCCAGCCACATGAATATTGCATGAACAAGTGGCTGGTAACCCCGTTATTAAGGCGCTAAATAAGTATATTTATAAACTAATTGATTACCAAGTTTCCCTTATTACTGTATATGAAAACATTAGCTTAACGTAACCTAAACATGATTTTAACGCCAAGACAACCTTCCCACTTAAGAGAGGTGGGAGATGAACTACCGACCCATAAAAATACTTACGGGTTCGGCCCCTGGAGCCACAGTCGACCTCGGTGGGGTATCCACAGGGGTACGCTCCGTTGCGGATCTTGTCGTTAAAGAGGAGGCCGTCGGGACATAGCTGCTCGGTGGCGACGCCGTCCTTACACTCCACGTACTTGTCGCACTGCTGAGAGTCTGGGAAGTAGTGGATGTCCTCAGGCGGGCAGGACTGGGCCCACGCTGTTGGGAGGGAGAAATCTATCGTCATTTTGTGGCAAGGAAGGAGAAAGAATGCTAACTTCGGAAAGGAGAAAGGTCTGATTTGAGGAGTCTATACTTGTAGCATACTAAATGTATTTTTTGAATATATATATATCATAGCCTAAGAATGTGTTGATGCAAAAATGTGAAGTTTTAAGACAATTATTGTGGTGCATAAATATGATGCGTGGAACATAATTGATGTACAGGTTCACACACCACAGGACACACAGTTAAGCACTTTCTAAGTCGAAGAATGATTTATTAATTCTTGAGGACAAATAATTTACTGAAAAACTATAACGTCTCAAACGCCCATTAAATATTTTATTACCTTCCAATGCTCATACTATATAAAAACAAGGACGGTAAATTATACAACCTAATTAAAGTCCATTTGTCAAGGTATTTATAGAGGGAGTCCTTGATATTTTATCTCAGAGGCAACCACAGGTCGCCTGTGTAGGGCTGGAGTCGCCCTGGGAGAGGACAGAGTTAAGTGGAGGACGCTGGGGGAGGGTGTACGCGATTGAGTGAAAATTATCCCCAGTCCGGCACTGCAGGGATTTACCTGTGTACGAGTTCAGGAGTTTTCATACTTTAGTAGACCCATGGTGATAGCCTGATCAGTATTATTGCTGCTTTGCAGTTCCCAGTCCCACATCGTCGGGAGCCGGGATATGTTCTCGAACAAAGTTACCTGATAAGCATGCCCGGCTCGTCCGGCATGCTTATCAAGTTCCTTTTGAAACAACGTGGCACATAGTTGAATGTGAACACCTGAGAACAGTGATGATTTTCAACTTTTATGATAGGATGTCCAGTAATTTACACTACTGTATTATTTAGGAAGGATTTAATTCTCCTGAATTTCTAATAAATTTGTTATTAATTAAAAAAAATAAAGTTTTCGAGGGCTTATAATCACAGAATCCAACATCTATAGGAATGTAGGCCCGATTATTCTGCCCGAAACGCTATGCGTGTTAGTGGCTTTTCAAGAATGTAAAAACATCAATGCTCTCATAAACCCAATGTACCTTTTTGTGTATATATATATATATATATATATATATATATATATATATATATATATATATATATATATATATATATATATATATATATATATATATATATATATATATATATATATATATATATATATATATATATATATATATATATATATATATATATATATATATATATATATATATATATATATATATATATATATATATAATACATAAATTATAGCTGCTTCTATATAGCTTCACTTTATTTGGGTTTATAACGCTTTGTTTTTCTTCCCTCATAGAGGACAATGGAGACGCGGTGAAAGTGATCTTATCTTTGCCTTTTCTCGAAAACATCGGCGGGATTATTCGACAAAGAAAATTCCAAACTGAATTTCAGAAACGGCGAAACATGCATATTATGCTGAATAGTATGACAATATACATGCGATCGTGAGAGTATAGTATAGCCGTCTACGAGAAAAGATTTATCATGCCAAATTATGTAGGGAATGACAGGCGTGTCTGGAGTGGGTTTGGACACCTTGAAGATGACCCACCAGCTAGTCATCCCCGTATGGCGGCGTCTGGCACCTCCCATTGACCTCCACAAGGTAAGTGAAAGTGGTCCTGCCCTCCGCACGCTGCGGGGCACTGACTGCCCTCCACGCATGCTACAGGGCACTGACTGCCCTCCACGCATGCTACAGGGCACTGACTGCCCTCCACTCGTGCTACAGGTGACTGACTTCCACGCATGCTACAGGGTACTGACTGCCCTCCACTCGTGCTACAGGGCACTGACTGCCCTCCACGCATGCTACAGGGCACTGACTGCCCTGCACGCATGCACTGACTGCCCTCCACGCCATCTTGGCCAGTTCACATCCCAGTTCATAATTTATCCTCGTATCACAGGTCTTAGACTATCTTAGCCCTTCAGAGTACTGTTATAGCCTAGCACTATATACTGTATTGCATAGCCTAGTACTATATAACGTAGGCATACTGGCTTAATAGCGCTCTTATTTATCTTAAGTTGCCAAGACACGGACGTAATATTTGTACACCAACAGTACTTATTTAGCAGAATTGTACTTGATTGTTCCATCGAGAAGTCATCTGTATTTTGGTAATTACAAAACTAACGTAAGGTAAATCTCAGCTGATACTTAACCAACCTATCAATTCCTAGCGTAACTTAAACTTATCTACTCTAATCTGTTCATTACTCATCTACTCATTATAACGTTTATTCGCCTCGAAAACAGAACGAAAACTCTTTGGAATGTGTGTCAGCTCAAAGTACAGATTTTAACATTTAGAGCAAAGTACAAAATTGTACTTGGCCTACTTTAGACGTAAATTTTTTAATGTTAATGTGGCGTTAATCTCTAGCTTCCCGTAGCCAGGGATAAGGTTGAACGCGCGGTCACTTACTCAGTTGCAACTACTCACTAGGCGATGAGTTGCTGGCTACTTAATCTGGCCGAATGGCGCGCGCATCATCCATAGGCTTTAGTTCAGTGCAAAGAATTCATATTTGCATAACTAAATATTATTATTGTAATTATTATATTTGCCAACATATTTGCTGACTATCCTGTGTGATAAGGATTTTTAGCACCACGTAGCTAGATTTTTGAGACACTGTACTCCCCTTCATATAGTCTAGGGCAGCTGCACAAATGCAGATGTACCTGAATGTGTTAAAATAATACATTACTTTATATTTTTTTCATTAAGTAATATACAACTAGACGTATTATCCTCGTAAACGTCGGCGACGAATGACTATGGAACTGGTAACCATGGAAATCGGGGGAAAATAGGCTGGAAAATTCAGCCTATTAAAAAATCATCAATTCAGAAACAAATGAGCGATGTCGTTGATGTTTTGGCGAACGAGATGGAGTTAGGACTGTTTAGACCCCCAAATATTGTAATCCAACTTTTGTGCCAAGACGTTACCTTACCGAACCTTCCCGAGACGGACGGACATTATCACGCGCCTACGTACGTACGTACGTACGTGCCCAGACCCAGGCTCATGCAAGCCGAGGTGACATTTACCAACACCTTCTCCACACCCACATGCCTTAATGAGGGCGGCCTTTGTTTATTATTATTTATTATTATTATTATTATTATTATTATTATTATTGTATTTATTATTAGTATTGTTTTTCTACCACAGACATGGCCACACATTTACAATGCTAACCAGCATATATACAGTTCCTTCAGTCCTCCATGGACAGGGTTAGAGGTCTGTTAAACTCTAAATCCCTAAATAAACTAAATCCAGGAAGCAGCCGACTAGGGAAGGGAACTCGGGAGAAAGCGCCAAGCCATAACGACAATATAGCACTTGGAAGGGGTCAGGATAAGAATTTGGGATGGGATGGGGGGAAGGAATGGTGCTTAACCATTTGGACGGTCGGGGATTGAATGCAGGAACAAAGGAAGGAGCTTGTTTATGGGGTGCCAGATAAGATGTCTCAGCCAAGGGCGCCGCCTGGTTTACCTGGTTACCTGGTTGATGGGGTTCTGGGAGTTCTTCTACTCCCCAAGCCCGGCCCGAGGCCAGGCTTGACTTGTGAGAGTTTGGTCCGCCAGGCTGTTGCTTGGAGCGGCCCGCAGGCCCACATACCCACCACAGCCCGGTTGGTCCGGCACTCCTTGGAGGAATAAATCTAGTTTCCTCTTGAAGATGTCCACGGTTGTTCCGGCAATATTTCTTATGCTTGCTGGGAGGACGTTGAACAACCTTTGATACTTTGATGATTTGGGAAGCGTACTGCTTGTGCCTTCTGATACGCAAGTTCCCGGAAAAAATATTAGTAGACGTCATGCGCACAAGGCAACTCCTTGGATCAGCTGAGGCCATAAACACAACATACCGCCCTACGGCGCGGCAAGTCTCCCTCTCACATCCACCTCTGATTTAGTCCACGCTCCTCTATCTACACCACAACGTAACAAGCACTTTTGACACTTATCATCCTCAACATAAAACACTTATCATCCTCAACATAAACGCGTCTACCAACATCTGTACTGGTGCAGTCATTGCAGGGCAAACTCTTACTGCAAACTGCACCTACTATCAAGAAGAACGTAAACAGTCTCCGTGGTGTAGTGGTAAGACACTCGCCTGGCGTTCCATGAGCGCTTTGTCATGGGTTCGTATCCTGGCCGGGGAGGATTTACTGGGCGCAAATCCGTAACTGTAGCCTCTGTTTAACTCAACAGTAAAAAAAAAAAAACAACGAAGGAAGCGAGACCATCGCTCTACCGTCCAGCTTAAGTTGTTATGCCCAAATTCAACATTACTATCCAGAGTAATGTTAAATTAAACGTTTTGCACGAATTAAAAAACTATGCATATCCCATTTGGATTAATTTTAATGGGGATTAGAAATTAAAAATGTGTGCGCTATAATGACTGTCTTGCCTAGAGCACGAACACGGAGCTTGTAAACTGCTCAGTAAGTGCAGTTTACCGTCTGGTTCATGGTAAGAGCATACAGGATAGGCAAGAAGAGACGTAGGTAAACTGAATCCAGATTTACTACATTCCGACGCTAGGCTTTCAATCCAGTGCTTGTGATATTTAGTTCGAAGCTGCCCCGTTACATTTTAGCGAGCCAATGCGGCCAAATGTGTGACCACTTGTCACTCCTTTCAACCAGGTTCAGCCCAGAAAGTTGTCGCACTCCCCGACTCGACGGGTGACTGACTGTACAAGCAAGACAGGCTGTCTCTCGCCCGTCACTGTTCAGGTTGAACTCATTAGCAAGTGGTGGCTCGATTAAATTGAATGGTAATTGTCGGCGAAATCTGCTAATTCCTTTCACGCAAATTATTTGACGATGGGTTGAATCGGCAGGATTTTTATAGACCATCGTGTCTCAAAATCAACGCGTCCCACAAATTAATTTAACTTCGTAAAATGGG